CAATAACTTTCAAATACTGTAACTGCTTTTATTCCTGTCATATTATACAAGTAAGTTGCAAATTGTTTGATTTGTATTAATCAAAAGCAAGTAGTTATTATTTGAACAGCTTTATCTTCTAATTGTCTTACTGAAATGGGTTTTCCACTTATGAATAGATGTCTAAGCCTGTAAATTCCCATTTCTTTCCATGTGGTAAACTGCACATTTACTTTAAGAATTAAATTTGGGATGTTTCAAGATGAGACATAATGGAACACAGGAAGAGCTAGAATTTCATATGTTTGTGCCATATTTGAACTAATTCAGTAGTGAAAGGGTGGCGTATTTCAAATGTATTTCTTGGGAGTTTGGGTATACAGAAATAAGAGACAGCAAAATTAGTATCATCAAATCCTTCTATCTGGGTCTAGCATGGCATTCTTCATTTTTATGAGTACAAGATCTTGAGCTAACTGAAAGCATCATAGCATTTTATTAAATTTGGTACTGCCAATCTACCTTTTGAAGCAGCACTATATTTCACACTTTTTAAATCCTGAGCTTTTGTTATTGAACCTTTCTTCTTTTTTCCCTTAGGATATTTTTAACATCTGGATGCAAAGATATATTCTGAAACAGGAATAACAATTTTGGTAATAGATGTGCTTTTACTGTTGCAAGCTTATCCTATGAAGCTAAATTTAATTTAGCCCATTTCTTATCTCTTTTTTCCTTCATGAAATCATCCAAATTCCTAAATATTTAAAACTAGAATGAGATCAAAGTTAGATATTATTTTAATTTCTTTTTGTTCTTGAAAAGATATATTTATACATAGTATTTTCAGTTTTAATAATATGAATTAATTTTCATCCTGTGTAGCCATTTTACAATATTTATTTTAAAGGCTTTATAGTTTTGGTTGAATTTTCAAGAAAGAGAAGCATATCATGCATATACAAATTAATTTTATGCTGTCCATTTTTCCTCCTTATTCTAGAAATATGAATAATTTTCTCTAAAGCCTAGAGAATGTGACTCTATAGCTAAGGCAAATATGAGTGAGAATAAAGGATTTTCCTGCCTTGTTCCCCTATAGAGTTCAATTTTTTCAGAGATTAATCACCACTATTTTATGCACCTTCATATAATTTCTGTATAACTGTAAAAGAAATTACCCATATTCATCTTATTCATAAGATCAAACATACATTTCCCTTCCAGATGATCAAACATTTTAGGCACATCGAGTGAAAATATGCCCATTTCTTTGTTTCTTCAGCATAGCCTTATAAAAATATATAACACTTTGCACCTACAGAACCTAAGCTATGAACCTAATCTGTCCTTCAGAGGTTCTGCCACCATCACCCAGTGAATCTCCCTGGGTTCCTCCAGCCCAAACCCTTGAGAGAGTCTCCCTGGGAAAACCCAACTATTACTCTAATCTGAAACCAGAGATACCCACGGCAAGGTGGGCAGTGAGGAGCTCAGCTGGCACTAAGTAGAGCTCTTCCCAGGTTTTCCTTCCCCTGCCTCTCACTGCCACTGGGAAGGACAAAGGTCCAGTGATGACCTTGTTATTCCCTTCTTCCCATGGTTGTATAGGGAGTCAACTACCATTACTCCACACGAACAGCTGTGATGATATCTTACCTGTCAGACAGTAGTATCAGGATACGCAATAAATAGAAGGTGTGGCACGTGTAGTTTTGGATTGTCTATTCCTTCATTTAAAAATGTAGCCGATACATAATATACAGGATGTACAATATTTTAGAACTTGCAGGAAACTGTAGTAGTAAACGTACAGGTTGGAGCACAATTGCATAGCCTAATGCCGTGTTGCCCTCACTTGGCACTTGAGCTTCTTTCTGGTGCTGGTATGTCAAAGCTTCTTGGCTGCGCTATAAACTTTATAAAAGTCTCCAGAATTAGTTCTTTTCCCATAAATATACAGATGCAAAATATGTTGTCCTTGGAACTGAACAGAAAAGACAAGGCAATTCTGGTACTGTAGGTACTAGGTAGTGGTTTTGGGACTGTTTCAGATTTGAAATGAGAGCACAGCTGAGCTAAAGAGTGTCTTGAGAGAACATCTTTTTAAAAATGTTACTAGTCCTACTTTAGTTTAAGGTGGTGGGATATACTTAAGAAAAGCACTTGGTATTTATTTACACCAAACAACATTTTATTTTTTTTATTTTAATTATTTATGTGCAAAACACCCTTTTTTTTCAAAGCTCCTGTTTCCTTGTTTGCTGGTTTCCATGTTTACTTTTCTTTATAGTAATATTTTGGCTGAATGCCCAGACTTGTTAAGATAAACAGTAGCATGTAACTGTCCTTGAAGTTAAGTTCTTGTTAGGTTTTCCCAAAAAAATTCTTATATTTTTTTATTTCCCACTGGAGGCCCAGTCTGTATCCTGCATGTTTCTTGCATGCTAGCTTCTAGGTCATCTGAACACCAGTGTGTTGTTTTACCCCAGCAGATCCGTGAATTAATATTTTTCAGCCCCAGTATTAGCATGCAGAGCAGACGTCTGGAAGGGCACACTCCCAGCAGGGGCAAAGTCCCTTTCCACATGCAGAAGGAGAGACACAGAACGCTCAGTGCAAGGAAAGCCAAGGAGGTGGAGGAAGGCCAGTGCCAGCATGGTGGAAGGCAATTCAGCCTACGCTGTCCTTTCGTTCTGCACCCCTGCTTTGATCCATGCTTTTATATCCCTGCTGCTTTGGATGCCCAGCGTTTTCCACTTTGGATACAGCAGCTTTGGCCTTTGGGAAGCATAGAAATGAAAACAGCAATGATTCTTATAATGACAGGAAGCAATGATGTGTCTTCCTGGCTTGCTTCACTGCTCACACAAAGGGATGTGTTCAAACAACATTGCTCAAGTGCAGGAAGATTTTGATCAGCCAGACTGGGATATTTCAGGGCTAAACTAATCCAGATTTTGCATTTAACATGCACACCTTGCAAATAGCAGCAACCAGAGGGGTTATGGTGATAATTATATATATCACAGTAGATGGGGAGGCACTGCTGTGGTCCAGCTGAAAATCTCTCCTTGGAAGCTTGGAAGCTCCTTGGAAGCCATTTGGATGCTAGGAAGCATCCAAACCCCGAGGGTGTGGAAGGGGCTTCCATGGGAGGTCGTTGAGGCCCCATCGGTGCAGGTGTTCAAGGATAGGCTGGACGTCCACATGGTGGGCATGTCGTGAGCAGAGCCGGCTGGTGCCGGAGTTCAGACTAGATGGCCCAGGAGGCCCCTTCTGACTCGCTCTGTTTCTATGTTTCTATGTTTCTACTATTTGCATTGGGAGGATATCTGCCCTGGACATCAATGCTGAATTTCCTCCAAACCAAGGAGCAGCTTCAGCCTAAGGAATCTGCATGGGTGGAATCTCCTTACTTTTTTCCAGCCATGGAAATCATTATTAAGCAATTTTTTCAATTAATTAAATAATTACTCAAATGCAATTTGTATCTTTATGGTACATTCTTGGTAAGCTTCCTTGAAATATTTGTAAAAGTTTGTCATTATTTATTTGATTGTCTTGTTTTATCTGTAAGCATGGGTAACTTTCATATTCTAACACTGTTGTACAGTCTTTTTTAACACATCTGCCTTGTTCTTTGACAGCCAAGTGTGAGTATTAATCTCTTGGTCAACAGAAAGGTCGATTGTTCCATAACTTTTATTTCTTTCATGGACCTTAGACTTGGGAGTGCATTATCCCTTTAGTGACGCTTGATTGAGTGTATAAGACTTAGTGCTGGCCAAATTTCACCATGTGACTAATATTCCTTGCAAATTTTTACAATTCCCCACTGAATCATTCTCTGGGAATACGTTTTCCATTACCCAAACAGCCCTCATTAAAATATACTCTGGCTAATGGACCTGTTTTCCTTTTCATGGTGAACCCAGGCCTCTTTGCTTTTTTTTAGTCAGATTTGCCCTTGCTGTAAGAAAGCTAGCAAGGATTGTGTTGTATAAAAACAATACATAGACAATCCAGGATCCCCTGGATTGACAGGGTGCTATACATTATTTAAGACAGACTTTCCCTCCTGATGCCCTCCAAAGCTTTGGGACTCCGACTCCCATCAGCTCCAAATAGTACAGTCAGTGGTCAGAAATGCTGGGGGTTGTAGTCCAAAACATCTGGAGGGTACCAGGTTGGATAAGGCTAACTTAGGATACAATACCGTATATGTTTAGGTCTACCCACATTCCATGAGTCAGTGCATGCCAAGTGTTTTTAACATTTTCTGGGTGCTCTAAGGAGGAGACAACAGGCTTCACCCCCTTTCTTCTCTTTGTCTTCCCATCTCACCTCCTGGGGCTTGTCAGTGCTTCTGCCTCACGTAGGAACAACTGTGAGCAAATAGACTGTGGAGCCACTGCCTATTCTCACTTCCACTGGTTCTGTTCTGCCTGAGCACAGCTTAAGGCTAAACCTAGGAGGACCAATACTTGACACAGTGAACCATCTCAGAGCCCCATTTGTTTGCCGGCCACTGTCATTTTGTCACACCGCAAAGACAGAGGACCCAGGAGCTGGCTTTGGCCGTGACGATTCAAAATGGACAGACCACTCAACTTCCAATCTGTACCACTTTCCTGTGTGTTCTTCCCTAGGTCTGTTCCATTCTTTTCCTGTGTTAATGTGCAGGGTTGGGTGTATCCTAACTAATGAAATCATGTTTAAATATGTACCTTTTAAAGCATTTTCTCACATAGTACCAATTTCTAAAGGCATTCCTGATTTTGAAATGCAGTGTGGCACATTTTGGGGGGCTCACAACATTCATAGAAGCATAACACCTGAAGGGTTACAAGGCTCCAGTCCACATGGTAGTCTGGGGCTTGTGGATCAGGTCTGTTTGCATCGGAATTCTCCAAGACGGATTTGTCAAACATCCCCCGTCATAACACTATACCTGCCTAGTAGTCTTCTGTTCCCGTGTAAATCCATCATCTACTTATTTTATATCTTTTCCTCTGCAGGGCTTCATGGACATTGACCTGGGGAAATTCAAGGAAAGTGGAGCAAATGTGACTGGATTCCAACTGGTGAATTACACAGACACAATCCCGGCTAGAATTATGCAACAATGGAAGAGCAACGATGCCAGGGAACAACCCCGGGTTGACTGGAAGAGGCCAAAGGCAAGTGGTACTGAAAACCATTTGTCAGAGGCAGCATGAGTGCCCCTCTCTTGCTGCAAACTCACTCTTGACTCACAAGCCCAAGCCTTTCATTTTCATAGCAGATAAAAACATATGGAAAACCATGATGAGGCAGACCAAAGGGCCCATTCTGTTCACACGGCTGCCCATGGGATCCCACCAGCAGGATGTGAGTGCCACAGCGCCCACCGGTCCAAGGTCCCCAGCAGGTGGTCCACAGGGGTAAGGTGCCTCCGATCCTGGAGGAAGTGTATAACCATCGAGGCGAATAGCCGTTCGTCGCCTCCCCTCCAGCAGGTCTGTCCAACCCCTTTCAAAGCCATGCAGATTGGTGGTCATCACTACATCTTGTGGAAGTGACTATGCACTATTTAAAACAGTGCTTCCTTTCAGCTCTCTGGAATTTCCCAGCAAGCAGCTTTATAGGATAGCCCCAGTTCTCTAGTATTATGAGAAAGGAAGGAAAAGGTTTCCCTAACCATTTTCTCCACGTCATGAATAATTTTGTACACCTCTAGCATCCCTCCCATTACTCAATCTTTTTTTAACTAAACCAATCCCATATGTTGTAACCTTCATTCATAGGAGAGTTACCTCAAGAATGCCCTTGACCATTTTTCTTCTCCTTCTCTGCATTTTCTCAAGCTTTACAATGAACTTCTTGAGGCAAGACTATCTTGCAGAACTCAACATTTTGCTTTGTTACTTTAAGGAAGAAGGACCTTAAAGGGTGGGGGGGGGGGGGACAGGCTCTCTATATCATCTCATAAAAAAGTTGTTTTAAAAATACTTCAACCTGAGGCCTCCTTTGTTTCTCTAAAGCACTGTATAGGATTTATTTTTTTAACAGAATACTTGTGTTAATGTTTATAAATTCTGGATTTTGGATGCACCAATTTTATTTTATTTTTATTATTCATTTACCATTCATATTCCACTCCATGTTGAAACAAATTCCAGTGCAATAAATAATAATACAAAGCTAAGCAATTAAAATAATAAAAAGAAGATATTAAAGCCAAGGTAACTTTAAAACCATGGCTGCTGAACAAGAAAGGCTTCCCAGAACAAAGATGTCTTTAGCAGGTGCAAAACGCAGCGCAGTGTTGGTGTCTGCCAACAGGCCCTCACAGTGGTGTGCAGGCAACATTTAAATGCTATTTAAATGAGAATTTAAAAGCAGAGCACCAAAATACCTAAGAGGGAAACCAGCAATTGGCCCGGCATACACAATAATTAATTGCTGAGCAAAACAAAGAAGTCTTTCTGCTCGCTCAGCAGCAAGTTTCCAGGACCAAGCCTAGTGGCCAATACATGTCTTATATCTATTTTCTAGTACACATCTGCTCTTACGTACGATGGGGTTCGGGTAATGGCAGAAGCTTTTCAGAGTCTCAGGAAACAGAGAATTGACATCTCGCGCCGTGGGAATGCTGGGGATTGCCTGGCAAATCCGGCTGTTCCGTGGGGACAAGGGATTGATATCCAGAGAGCTCTGCAACAGGTCAGAAGCACAGAATGGTGTGAAGTCAAACTTCTTTTCCAGTGTGTGGCCATTGCATATTTGTCTTTTGTCACGTTGACTGGATGCAACAGTCCTTTCCCAGCCTGGGGTCCTCCATCTGGGTTAGAGCTCAGCTCCTAGCAGCTCCAGGCAGCATAGCCAAAGTCTGGAATCTTGAAGGTAGAAATCTGAAATATCTGAAGGCTGCCAGGCTGGGAAGACTGGATGCTCTGGAAACATCATGCTGAATCATTAAAAAGAATGAGCACTGCATGAAATGGAATATCTGATGCTGATTTATTAACTCTATTCAGGAAAACAAAACTGGAAAATGAAATGGTACAAAACCCCATGACATTAGGGAAGAAATGTATTTAGAAAACCTTGCGCATTGGCTCAAAAATCTTTACTTCCAAGGCTTCAGAATTCTTTAATGCAATCAGTGGAATAGGCTTTTTATGCTTCTGGGTAAGTGGCCATGGCTATGTCAAAAGACAGGGAAAGCATGTCGAGTTATCCTTCTGGGGCTGAGCCACTTCAGATGGCTGGTGAGGGAGGGAGGTGCATGTCTGAGTGTTTCCTGGAGGTGAAAGCTAGCATGTCAGATGGAGGGCATGATAAACTCGTTCTTAGGTTTATGTGCTGTTGCATAAGTGAAAAATCAAGTGGAGATTGTGTGCTGGAGCAGACTGATGTTTCCATTATTTCCAGTAAGCAATGGTTTATAACTTATTATTTGTCACTGTGTAACACCTATTGTGTCTTTGCTAATAAAAGTCCCAAGTCATTCTATCTATTTGAGCTCAGAGATAAGTGATAGTGTCTTGCACAGAAAATTGTACTGTACACAAGGAGCAAATGTGTGGAAAAGTTCTCTGTGGCAACCTTCTTCAACCCACCCACACACTCCCTGAGCTTCTTGGGGATGATGGGTGTTGTAGTGCAACACAGACACACATATCTGGTGGGTGCTAGGCTGGGGAAGGCTACCCTATCGCCATTCTTTCTGATGGAATTAGGTGTGAGGAACAGTTCCAATACTGCCTCCTTTGATGCAACTACCAACCGTGGCATAGGAAGTTCTTGCTATGTGGTTTTGTTTTGAATTAAATGTGTGGGCAGAGGCAAAAGGTGTTATCTTTTACCTGATTTTTGAACATCATTATTATTAAAGGTACGCTTTGAAGGATTGACGGGTAATGTCCAGTTTAATGAGAAAGGACATCGGACTAATTATACCCTTCATGTGATTGAAATGAAACATGATGGGATCAGAAAGGTAAAGGCTTTGCTTGCTTTTAAACACAGAAGGAAGTAATATTGTGACTTATTTTTGAGGACATTTCTTCTCCAAAGTTAATTTTTGTTGTGCATTATTTATGTGTGTGTAAATTAGGCCTGGGTAAATCTGTGTATTTCTGGTCAATGTCACCTTCACATATTTTGCTTCTTAATTTTGTTCAATTTCAATTCCATATTAATCTGTGCCTTCTGTAATCATCTCAAAATGAGTACTGAAATATTATTTGATACATATTCAGATGTACCCTTTTTCACAAGCTACATATTGAAATACATATTTGTCTATGTTTAAAACTGCTAAGTACTGTACTGCAATGTTCAGAGAAGCGTGAAATCTAATGAGTAGCTTAATTCTGATACATACATTATTCGGAATCGTGCAAACAAGGCTATCGCATAGAGGAATTCACCAAGAGCAAATCCTCCTGCATATCCAGTGTAAATACTGCTCTGTGAATTGTCGTGGCCACATAGTTGCTAAATATGAATCAATTAAAGTTTAAGTACAATTGTTTACAAAGGAATGGATTACAAAGGAGATTTCACTATATGGCTACAATCCCATACACACTTACTTGGATATAAAACCCTTTGAACTCATTGAGAATTGCTTCTGAGAAGACATGTGTAGGATTGTGGTCTGTTTCAGCTCCACAACAAAATAAGTGCCATGGGAAGTGTGGCTAGTAATGAAGGACAAGTCACCTGTCCCAGGGACAGAGTTCAGCATAGGTATTGGAGGAGCAGGAGAACAGTGGGTGCCAAGAGAATTGTCTGTTGGTGCCGCGATGCCTGTGGCCATGAGATTGCCTGCTTCTCCAAGTTTACCTTGTGGAGTACATGCACAGATGCAGATGTAGACACAACCATGAATGTCGGAGCCACCTTAAAAAATCCCAATGAACTCCAAGCTTCTGTTACATGTTCAGGAATGCAATGACACCAATATATATCTTGTCCATAAAATATGACATGATTTTGCTATTATGCCATTAAGGTATCACTGGCAAAGCCATAATAACAAAGAGCATTTTAAAATATGAATATGTTCAGAACAAGGCATGAATTATTTCATACACTACCATGAGGTTTTTTCCATCGCTTCAAGCAGTGCACAGGAGAAAATAGTATTAGATCTGATAGCTTGTTTCATGTCAAAGGTGTACTGTAGTTTCTTTATCATTACTAGATTGGCTATTGGAATGAAGATGAAAAATTCGTCCCAACAGTCACAGATCAACAAGGCGCAAATGAAACCACAACTCTCCAGAACAGGACCTACATTGTTACAACTATTCTAGTAAGTGCGACATCAAGTCCTAGTTGTGCTTCATCCTTGAGTTAGGATCTCCTACTAGTTCGTCCAGTGTATGTAAATTAATAGCAGCAAAATTTAGTACCTGAAATATGGTGACTTGAAGAAATGCCCCTGGTCTCCTTCTTTCTCTGCCCCCTTCCCTTCATATTTATACACAAGAGCAAAATCTATGAAACCTTAAAAGGCAGTGAGCATAACTGCCCGGTTCCAGCTGCCAGAACTCCTCTCAGCTGCTAGATTACACCTTACCTACAGGAGAGAATGCTGAGCAGCCCGCACAAGTTCTCCCCTTCAGCATCTACATCAACGTGCCTCCTGCTCATGGGCTTAAAAGGCAACTGCCACACTTCTGATTGACATGGGCTGCAGCTACACTGAGACCCATTTAAGGACAGATGAGACTTACTGCCGGGAGACAGTGTGCCTTGGGTAAAGGAGTTTCAGAATGTTGTTGGAATGGCTCAGTGTCTCTAGATCTCTGCAAAGCACCTCTGGCTAACCCTGAACCCATCAATTACAGGAGAAGAAGGATGAAGGTCAGGTAGATAGAATGTTCTCCTTTCCTTCTCCTTGGGAATTCCTTTTATGATTGCTTTCAGTTTTTCTCTTGAGTTAGTTCCATCTTACTATTAGCTTAAAAAAAATGTTACTTGGAGAACTGAACTCCACCAATTTTTTTTTTCAGAAGCTGCTAGCATGAATGCTGAGGACTTCCTTCTCTTCTGGCATTATGCAACAAATGCACATTTCCAAAAGGCTGAAATGTCGATTTGTAACTTGTTCTATTTTCTCCAGGAAGCCCCATATGTGATGCAGAAGAAGACCAATGAACCATTGGAAGGAAATCTCAGGTATGAAGGATATTGTGTCGAGTTGGCTGCTGAGATTGCAAAACACGTTGGCTACAACTACAGCCTGCAGATTGTTGCTGATGGAAAGTATGGCGCCCGTGATCCCGAGAGTAAATTATGGAATGGCATGGTTGGGGAGCTAGTCTATGGAGTAAGTTTCTAGGTTTGATCTGATGTTTTAAGATATGTAACAGCTCATGATGAAGGACATCTCATGTGTATTATTTGTTTAGACAAGCACCCTTTTGCATCAAGTAACTTGCCATTTGTGTCCAGTTGCTGCATGGCTGATCATTATTTGCCCATAACAGTCAGATAAATATTAAAACCTGTTTTGGCCTGTATGCTGTGCCAGGCATGATGCTGTACAGTTGGCAAAGAGCCACTTCTGTTGAACATTCTCCGTCAAGTGAAATGATCTGTGTCAGTCATTTGTTAGTAGTGATGCATCTCCATCTGGTAATAAGTAACTAGGCATCTTGCCAGCGGGAAACTCTCCTCTCCTGCTCCTGTAATGATGAAGCTGAGATGTCACAGATCCTTAATTGTGGCCTTAGTCAAAGGACCATGCCAAGAGATTTGAACTGAATTCAGCCTGGTAGACCTCCTGAAATGAATTGGACAAATTAGGCATGACTAGGTAATCTAGTCTTAGAAGGACTGACATTAGATTAAACCCTTTGTTTGGAAAAGAGAAGTATGAGTAACAACTAAGCACAGGAAAAGGAACTGCTAAAGGTACCACTGGCATTATTTTAAAATAGATTATAAAATAAACCTCTAGGATGATCAGATGTGCCAGTGGATTTTTTTTAAACAGGGAAACAAAGTTATATAAACAAATTAGAACTTGCACTTCTCAAGCTTTTAAAACTTATCTTTATTTTCTCCACTTCTAAAAAAAAATCTGGTGTCTGAAAGCCAAAACAAAAGAAAACCAGTAACACTGAGATCTAAAAACTGAGGCTACAAGTATTATCTCAAAATTATTAGTACTGGTATTATTAGTATTAGATAAGTATTAGCTCAAAACATCCCCACCTCTTCATACATTCTGGGGCAGATGAACTGCAGATCTTCCAACATCTAATATTGATCTCCTTTTCTTTTCAGAGAGCTGATGTCGCTGTTGCGCCATTAACCATCACTCTCGTGCGAGAGGAAGTCATAGACTTTTCCAAACCATTTATGAGCCTGGGCATATCTATCATGATTAAAAAACCACAAAAGTCGAAGCCAGGGGTCTTCTCCTTCCTGGATCCCTTAGCTTATGAGATTTGGATGTGCATTGTTTTTGCCTACATTGGAGTAAGTGTTGTCCTCTTTCTGGTTAGTCGCTTCAGCCCTTATGAGTGGCATAACGAGGAGCTAGAGGAAGGACGTGACCAGCCTGCCAATGACCAAACAAATGAATTTGGGATTTTTAACAGTCTCTGGTTTTCCTTGGGAGCTTTTATGCAGCAAGGATGTGATATATCTCCAAGGTTAGTGATTTTCTTTAAATATGTAATGGGGGTATCTGTCTTACCACATGTTACAACACATCTCTTCTCCTTGATATGTTTTGCCTGCAGCATAACAACTATTACTGGGAATCCGCTGAAGCAGCATACATTGCTCTGGTACAGCCTCCCCCAGTGAGGGATGCATGAGAATTTCCTCTCTGTTTTCAAATCATGTGATCATGGCCTGTTCACAATCTTTTTTCAAGAAACGGTTGCATTGTTGCTATTGTGTTTGAAATGTGGTGTTTCTTTAGTGCGCACTTGACATGTGAATTTTTCAAAAAATATGAATGTTTATGCTTTAGTCAGTGAAGGAAGCATGTACGTGGTAAATACAAATTACAGAAATGTGCACAATTTCTTCTGTTTGAAAAAGAGGAGCAAGCTAAAACGAGCTTCCAAGAGATTTTGGAGAATTTAGACAAATTTAGAAATTGTGATTTTCCCATCCTTAAGCCATATCTGAACAGCAGAGGATGAGGTGGCTAGATGGAATCACTGGGACAGTGGGTGTGGGCTTGGGTGGACTCCGAGGGATGGTGGAGGATAGTAAAGCCTGGAAGAATGTTGTCCGTGGGGGCGCATCCTTGCGAGTAAACAACAAAGCCATATCTGGTGGCCTCCAGCTGCAGACTACACCTCCCACCATTCACAGCTAATGGCTGTGCTGACTAGGGATTATGGGAGTTGTAGTCCAGTGCATCTGAAAGGAGCCAGTTTTGAGGATGCTGGCCTGATATCTCAATAACTTTAAAACCCTGCTGCAGTGGCCCTGTTAAGAGTCTACTTAATTTGTTGTCTGACTGTAAGAGACAGTTAACACCACAAGTCTTTGTGAAAAGAAAAAAGACTCTTTACTGAGGTGTGTACCAGCACTATAGAGCCATCTCATCCCCAGCTGGGTCTCTCTACTGTGAGCATCTTGCGCAACCAAGGTATGTGCTTAGCTTTTTCTAATGAGGAATAGAACAGTTTCTAATCAGGAGTAGAACAGGCAACTGTCAGTTACTCCTTGTACAAGTCATCTTCACCCAAAGATAACAACAAGCTGTTTCTGCTGAACAGTATGTTACACAAACATTTTTTTATATTCATACATTACATGCAACATCAACAATTTCCTATCAGCATACTCTGGTTTCTCTTCAGATTGTATAAATCTTTCACCTTTTACTAAACTATTTCCTATCAGTCCTTTCAAAAGAAGGATTTATTTCTGTTCAGGACAGTTCTCCCAATCATTGCAGATTTTGCTCATGTTTTACTATGTTGGGTTTTTTTTACCCTATGCTGGATTGTAAATCTTGGTTTCTAAGTAAACTTTGAAGTAGTCAAGACATAACAGAGAAGAGTATGATATTATTTATGTGGAAAGCAAACAAGTGTAGACTATGCTTTATTCATAAAGCGGTCTAAGATGCTCTTTAGAGTGACACTTGAAAGTCTTTTCTCATGTGTTTCTCCTCCAGGCACTAGTTTGAATGACTGAAAAGAAAATTAAGTATTCTAAAAAATTAAGCAGAAGAATTGTTTAAATATGCCTCTTGGAAAAAACACACAGTCTTCATAAATGAAACACTCCTACAATGATGTTGGTACCATATTTGGTTCACAAGGGAGACCACAAAGAAAGAAAATTGAAGGAAGGAAGGCAAAGGAAGTAGAGGCAGGGATGAATGGGAAAGGAATATATAATTATTTCTGTTTTTCCTAGTTTGGTTTAGTTATACAGAGTGCAAGAACTAGATGGCTGGTTCAAGGCTTTGAGTAGGAAAACAAATAAATAATATGGCTTTTGCAGAAAAAGGGCACTGGGGAAACAGGTGGTCTAATGGAAGGATTAGACAGACATTCCAGGAAGCAGTTAGAGGTCCAAGGGGTGTAAAAGAAGCACAATCATTTCACAATCCAAGAAGTATGCAGCTTTATGTGACAGCACCCTTAATTGGTGCAAGGCCAGTTTTAGATATGTCATGTGGAATGTGAAATGTGGAAAGCAATCTAGAAAATACATTTTTGGTTCATTTGACACCTTTATGCCTCTTTTTCAGGGGTGAAAGGTGAGGTGGAGCTGTACTAAATTTTCCCATTAGATGCAATACATAAATTAAAATTTTTAGAGTATCCTGACTGGGCAATCCATGATTCCCTAGGAATAAAGGGTACCAATCAAAGATAAGTGATCAATGTTCCTTTAACAGAAAAATATGATTTTAGTTTTTAATTCTGCAGTGTAGATTACTCTTAATATTACAGCTTAGACATGGAGCTATGGTTGGATTAGATTTCCAGATAAAAACTCCCCACACAAATCACAGCTCAAGTTGCAGTAAAGGTCAAGCTACTTTTTTTCTTCCACAGAGCTCCTCCTAGCAGTAAGAATGCCCAATATAGCAGTCACTTGTATAACATTTTGCTCCACTGATGTGCTTGAAGACACAGTGTACTTCCAAATGTTCTGAAATGCTTAAGATTTTCAAAAAGATGAAAGAGTTATACAGTTTAAGGAGAAATCAGAGTATGAAAAATATGTTTCTGAAATGGTATACTAATATGAAATACATGAAATAAAAATGCTGCTTTAATGCCACTTTTCTCAGCTGGATTTTAAACCAAGGATCAAACCATCATTTAATATCTTGATAAATAAGCCACCATTAAACCAAAGTTAGCCATTACCAATGTAACAGGGAATTTGGGTTAATGATGCAGGATTGATACTCCAATCTTGACACACAAATGGAGGGGGGAAGGGGAGAGAGAAAGTGAGTTGGGCATAAGAAATTATCATTATTGGGCTGAGAATATTAGGTTTTAACCAGGCTACCATATATGAGTCTCGATATTGAAACCTGTGGTTCAGGCCAGAATTAGATGATCCCACTGGCAGGAATATTGCTAGGAAAATAAAATATCCAGGGCTCAAAACACCCCCACTGACTGCTACCTGGCCAGACATTCCATGACCAACACCCAACTGGGCAAACCAGCTGGTGAACTGAACAGCAGCTACCCAGAGACAGAGACCAGATCACTGGGAGAAAGACCATCTATAAGTCCCCAGATTGTGAGAATTCACCATAGTCTTACAAGAGTTGGTGAAGCCATGTAGAATTAGGTGTCAATCTCACAAAGGTCATCATTGTCTCACCAAACTTCAGATAAAATTTGGGGAGTCAATGCAACGTATCGCTGCAGGTGGCCTGGTGTGAGTGTGCCGGGTGCTGCCACCTAGTCAGGTACTGGCTATTTGGTGCTTTGTCAGGCAGAGGCTGCTCTTGGCTTCCGCTTTTGACTGATGTCCGCCAACTGCTTTGCTCCTCTAAAAAGAGAAAGCAGCTGGGAATTGGAGTAGTGCAGACACATGTGGGGAGCATGGCTGCTGTCCTCACAGTTCACTTCCTGCCGGAGAGAGTGGTCTGGGTCCCTTACTAGCTGAGTCTCAGCCAATGCTTGACACCCAGGACACAGAAATGAATTTGGGGCACGTGGTCTGGGAGCCAGAGTTCACAGTGCCTATATTCACTCAGCTGGCAAGGAAGGTCACAGCTGACACAGAGGCCTTAGCAAGACCTTCTCTCATGGGTGTTCTCCAAATGTCTTGGAGTATTGCAGGACTACAATTTCTAGTATTCTTGACTTTGGCCATAGTGACTTGGACTGATAGAGGTTGAAATCCATAACAGCTGGAAGGTGTCAAGTTGAGGAAAGTTGACTTGAAGTGGACTGAGCTCTGTGTAAAGTACTTTAGAATGGGCTACGTATAAATGGTATTTCTAGCAAGCCTATTGCAGCATGGTCAACTAGATGGCTTTTGCAAGAACCTCATTTTTGATGGAATCTGCTGAGTGCCTGCTGTCACTGCTTTTGCAGAATTTCATGGAAGTATGTCCACAAATTTGGCAACTTACTTTATGGTGCTGTAGCTGGACATCTTTAGCTAAATGCTTATATTTCAATCAAATGTGCTTTTGCGGAATGTTGTCTTGCTCATTCCTGGAGCATCCACCTGAGATCTCTTTGCCTAGTATGTATGGAAGTTAACTGTACATATCCTCTGAGGCCAGGATAAAACTGCTCAAGTCAGGGCAGTAAACATCACATAATCTGACTGGAGCAGAACAAGTAGGAAAGCTCTGTCCATATGCTCTGGCTCTGCTATGTTTTTTCTGCTAAACAAATTACTCATGAGATACCAGGCAGCAAAGGAACAAAGCCTTTGGACAGCTGTAACATTTCTGATACTAATAAGCTTTAAAAGGTCATTCCCTGATTACTGATTCTGATATAACTAATATCTTCTTGTGTTCATTAAAGTTCTTGTTAGGGCACAGCACCAGCAGAGGAAAAAAATAAAGTTTTACCATCTTCTGTTATCTTAGCCAGATGTGTTGAAATTAGATTATTATAGCTGATAGTGCACAATGAACTTGGTTTCTATCAGTGTACCATCACCAGCATTTTGTAAAACAGAGATGAAACAATTTAAACATTTTAGACGGCTGCCTTACATGATAAATTGCTATAGTATTCTTCAGATACCATATTCAATTTAAATGTGTGTCAGTGCATTTAGTTACAGTGCAATCTCATACATGTCTACAGTATAATCCAAATGATCCTATCAATCCATAGGATTGTTGTTGCTTGTTTTTAATTTTTGAGGCCTAAAAATATCGAACAAAGTGCTGGTTGAGTTTATTTACACATTTGAAATTATACAGCCTAACAGGATAGTTGCTTATTATATTTTTCCTTGCCTTGGTTGTTGGGATCAGTTTACTTCTGTGTTGTACTCAGCCCCATTATGTTCTACCCCTTCTAGCTAAGTGGTGAAACATGATAACTAGTCAAAGAAACCATTTGAAGAAGGTGCGGATCTCAGAGACAACCGCAAAAGGCTTCTCTGTATAGTTGTTTCTATGCTCGTGTTTGAACTGAGCCAAGATGAGAGAGTTGGACTGCCTGGTTTTAATGGG